CTGCTGTGAGGCTGTGGGCTGTGAGCGGGGCTCTGAGACCGAGAGTGAGGGCTGCACTCCCCGTGACCCTGTGTCACATGAGCGGGGCGGCGCCCTGCAGTCCATCGCTCACCCTGTTCGTATCCCCCCCCCCAGGCTCTGCTACACCCCTACTTCTTCACGGCGCCCCTCCCCGCCCACCACTCGGAGCTGCCCATCCCCCAGCGGGGGGGCAAGCGGACCCGGCAGCGCCTGCCGCACCCCTGCGAGTTCTCGGTGGACAGGCCCCTGGAGGAGAGCCTGGTGGACCCGCGCCTGGTCTCCGGACAGGCCTGGGGGTGTTTCTGAGCCGGTCCCCCCCCGCCCCTCCCAGCACAGGGCGGCAGGGGCTCCCCTCTTTCTGGGCGAACCAGAATCCACTGCGTCTCCCCCTCCGAGCGGGGCCGCTGGACAGTCTGATCTCCTAAAGTACAGACAGCCCTACCCTTGCACCAGCATAGAGGCGATGGAGACTGCTGAGGATCTTGCACGTCATTTGAAGACAAATTAATAATGCAGAACACAGACTGACAAACAGATGTTATTTTTAAGATTGGGTTTGAATTCAAATCGATTTCCTACGGAAATGAAAAATGACTGGAAAGGCTGTCTCCCCAGTTATCTGGGTGTAGTTGCATGGGCCCACCACAAGAGGGCTCTCTTATATTAACATTGAACGTGTAAAACCGGCTTTTTGTTGGGTTTTTTTTGCTGTTTATTTCCTGGTTGTGACATGTTGGGACACCCCAGAGAAACTCTTAGAGAACATTTATGGTATATAAATTTATATACATTTATGCAGGCCAAAGGCATGCAGGGAGGTTAACTGGCTTGTGGGAAAATGGGCCCTGGTGCTTGTGTGTGTGTGTGTGAGCTGCGCTGGGCTGGACTGGAAGAAGTGGTTAGAAAATGGATAAGACGTTGTGACTGATTATCACCAAGCAGGGTATCTGAACAAGACAGGTAGATAATTGAAGCCCCTGGGCAGACCTTTCTGAAAGGTAACCCCACCTCTTACTAGCACATCTGTCCAAGTTATTGCATGAGTTTGCTCTGAGAGTGCAGAGCTGTGATCTAGCCGGGAATCTTGTGTCACAGATACAGTGGGAACAGACAATAAACAGGACCCTGGGCTTTTCCGGGGTGAGCAAAAACTAAATGCAAGAGTCCGATCCTTTTTTTCCCCTTCGTCATTGTCATGTCACCTTCCCATAATATTCTTCCCTCTTGCACAGACAACTGTTTGGCCTGTCTAGCCTAATCGCGTGCCTAATGTTTTCCCAGGATAAAAAGAAGCTCTGAGATCTTTGTTTCCTAACTTGGTACTGTGAATTCTTGTTTTTGCCAGCTGGTTTTCTTGCACTTGGAGGATGAAATTTTTGCACTCTGCCGCCTCACTGCGTAGCCACAAGAGCCACGGCTCTTTGTAGTTATTTTTTCAGCCCTGAGCCAGTGATTGTTTGCAACGACTGACCCTTGCCGCGTCTGAGTCCGTTTTCAGAGTCTGGAGCTCAAAGGGGTTCAGACTCTGAAACAACAAGAGCCTAGAATCTCCTGGCATCAGGGCGCTGTACCCTTTCCATCGGTCTTGCCACCTTCCTCCCCCATGAGCTCTGCCCAGCAGCGGTTGAGGAAGCGTCCTGGACCAGGAGAAGGAGCTCGGCCCAGGCGCTGGCAGCCTGCATCCGGGCAGAGCCTGGCTTTACGGGAGTCACTGCGCGGTGGCTTGGAAACCGAGCTTCGGGGAACAATCAGCTTCAGTATTCCAAGATCTGACATTACAGGGTGAGCAGGCAGAGAGAGGTGAGTTCCTGGAAAGCAGACATTGGGGCATGGACATCTTGGGTCGATGCTAGGTTAGGAGCTGTTGGCCTTCTGAGAGCTGGCATGGGATGACATTTCTGAGCCCTCCAGCCCGAAGTATCTTGACTGAAAAAGCTGTGTTGCATTTATTTTTAATCTAAGATATGTCTGTGTACCTGCATTGGCTGTGTTGCTGTGGTATTGAGGTTATAGAGAGATCCTCTTATTTAGAGCTTGTGAAACCTAGTTCTTCCTCTGTAGAAATCGCCCCTTCTGTCTCAGCGCAGCCTGAGGGACAGAGGAACGCTCCTTGCTCAAACATTAAGGCCATGAGGAGAGTACAAAGTGTATAATCAAGGTACATTCAATAGGCAAATGCTAGAGATTATTTTTTAATAAATCTCCATACTCTTGTTTTAGCCAGCAATCAATGGTATATTTCCTATAGGGCTCCAGATCGAGGGACACTTTGAAAGAAATACTTCCACAAGGCATCCTCTGTGTTTCCTATATCTGTAGCTGAGCTGGGAAATGGAGGGGTGCAGAGAGGGACATGCACTGAGCTGTTGCCAAGTTCACACATGCAGACATCCAGTGCACTCAAGCCCCAGACAAGCACACGTGTGACAAAACACGCATACACACGCCCGTGCCCGAGGGCGCTACGACACGAGTCTGGCACGGAGCGGGATTGTCTGGGAGTGGGGAAGGATGTCGTGAGTTCCATTGCAGGTCGGATCCAGACCCGGTACTGATTGATCGGCACTTGTGGATGTCGGCAGCATGGAGAAAGCCGCCTTCCTCCCGAGAACCCTGGGTGAATTATAATCTGAGAGGGAAGGAATTCTGCATCCCCATCCCCAAGTTTTCAGCGTCTCTGCTTGTTGGTCCTAATCAGACAGGGAAACCTTTTCTTTTAAAGTGAAATCTGAATTTGTCTTTCCACTCCATAGCTGGAATAACCCAAGAGCTCGTGATTACATGACTAAAGGTCTTTGTACCTGTGCTTCCACAGTGAAACCTTTTAAAATCTGTAAGCAGGTAATGACTCCATGCACACATGCAGCATCGACATGCACACTGCCTGCTGTCGCAGCGAGCACACACACACACACTCTGCGTCTTTATTTATCGGCATGTGTGCGGGAGCATGCGGGCAGCCTCCTGGGCCGAGCGCAGTGCGGGCTGGGCCTCCTCTTCCTCCAGCGGGGCCTCAGGGTTAAATAGGATCCTGCCATTTAAAGCGCCGGTGTCTGCAGGGACCTGCCCACAGCTCCTGGCCCAGAGGAACCGAAGCCGCTCTGTCCCGAGGGTCACAGCATCACGGGGGAGGGGGAGCTCTTCCTGCTCTTGTGCTTTTGTTTCTCTGCAGTTTGAGATGATTTTAAGGACAGTAAACACTCCGGGCGGCACAGAGGTGCAGAGGTCAGCCTGCTGCCGCGCAGTGCTGGGGCCCTGGGTTCAGTTTCAGCCCCGGGGCACTGTATGTGTGGAGCTTGCATGTTCTCCACACGTTCACATGGCTTTCGTCCCACAGTCCAAAGACACGCTGGTGGGTTAACTGGCTTCTGGGAACACTGGCCCTGGTGTGAGTGCACGTTCGTGGTCGTCTGCCCCACAGTGGCCAGGGATCCTGTGCGGGGTGAACCGTGTCTTGTGGCCGTTGCTTGCTGGGATAGGCACTGAGAGCTGGTGTGGGGGGAGCGTACTGGCGCATCATCCAGGTGGGGCTGCACACTGGTGGGGGTGGAGGGGATCCCCATTACCTGTGAAGCACTTTGAGTGGAGTGTCCAGAAAAAAGCTATATAAGGATATTATTATTATTATTATTATTAGAACATGAGGTCCCCCCTGTACCCCAGAGCTGGGTATTTCCAGCCTGCAGAGCCCGTGTTTCACCAGGGCAGCAGCGGGGTGAGAGGGCTGGATCTGCCCGCGTCCTTGTTTTCTGCCAGCCGGTCAGCGCTGACGTCTGGCCGGTGGGGGGTGTATTACAGCTGAGCTGTCCCGCGGAGAGAGAGAGAGAGAGAGGATCGGCGCCCTGTGGTCACTTCAGGCCTGGGCAGGCACGGTCGAGTGGGCCAGCGGGCAGGACGCGAGCTGCCGGTCCACTCTGGTGCCCTGTCTTGGGCTGGAGGGCCAGCTGGCCCCTCGTGGACATGGGGGACCCCCCTTGTGTCCGAGGAGCAGCTGTCTCCTGGCTCCGCCTGCGTGTCCAGAGAGGGGTGAGAACCCCGCTGTCCCCTGCTCCTGCACCCTCCAGGCCTCGGGGACGTCTCCACCTCCCTGGGACACAGCCCCAGAGAGACTCCTGCAACAAGGGCTGCTCGAAACCTGCTGGCAGCCTGTTGGCGTTGATTCCTCTGGAGCCTCAGGGCAGCCATGACTGTCCCCACAGCGCTGACACTGTCCCTTTCGGTCGCAGTGAACTTTCCACTGAATCACAAGCTGCCAGCAGAAGCCCACGAGGTTGTAGTCCATGACAGTTAAAGGTCGTGCTATTCAGTCTTTCCAGGTTTGGATATTAAGTCAATCACAGCCCGTCTTGGGTCAGAACACAGAGAAGAGCTGCTTGGGGCTGCTGTAAATAAGGGGGTGCTGGGTGGAAGCAGTGACTTGAAAAGGGGTCCATCAGTCGGAAGTCTTGGGAGCCCCCCGTCCCCCAGTCCTGGAAAGAAGACCGAGGCTGAAACTCAGACACACGGAGAGGAGTTGCTCACTAGTTTAGGTGCTTGAGCCCGGGGGAAAGCACAGCCCCTGCTCGTCGTTTAGTGCGTCCAGATGGAATGTTCTTCCCTGGCCTTGCAGCGTGAGGCAGCGCCAGCGGGAAGCTCTTCCTGCCTGCCTGCTGAGCTCCGCCCCGACCTTGTGCGTTTCTTCCTCCTGGAGCGCTGAAGGAGGACGCGGGCAGAGACCTGAGGAGGAGGAGGGTGGGGGAGTGAGAATGGGCAGCGGGCTGCGCTGGTCCCGGGTGTACTGGTGTCTCAGTATTGCTCAGCAGCTGGTGTGCGACGCGGAGATAAGGCATCCCTGTTTCACGGAAATTCACAGACGCCACCTTCTAGGGAAGCAGAGGCCCAGAGCTCTGCGCGAATCACACCCCTCTCTGGCTCGCTGGCTCTCTCTCTGCGCCTATGGAAAGGAAGCCGCGCATCAGGCCTGTTTCTTCAGCTTCTCTTTTCTCTCAGAGACACGTCAGACAGCTCTGACCGAACCAGAGAGTCTGGAACCACGTAAAAACCAAAGGGGCAGCCCTCGGGGGGAAGCAGTCTGCGTGGTCAGCTGAGTGGCAGGACCGGGGCTGTCGCGCTCTGCGGTGCAGCGGGCAGGCGCGCAGTGGGGTCAGCGTCCTGGCCGGCCCGCGCAGGCTGAACGGGTCTGGGGTGCGTCCAGTCGTCCTAGTCCGTCCCACGTGGCCGTGCTTCGGCTACATTCGGGCCTGGGGCTCTCAGGCCAATCCCAGCACACCCTGCAAAGTCAGAGGTGTTACAACCCCCCGTGTCTGTGGTTTGGCTTTTTTGTACTTTTGTGAAAGAGCTTCAGGGTTCGGGGGCGCAGCGCCCGGCTGCAGGAGCAGGTTACTCACTGGGAGCCCTGTCTTCCCAGTAAGGGTTACCCCGATAGTGGGTGATCGCTCCCCACGTGGAGACGCTGGAGCTGTGTGGCCAGTCACTGAGCCGTTAATGGGCCTGTCAGTCAGCTGATCTCTGTGAAGCGAGATGGGCGAAACTTTGCTCTCAAACTGTGTTTAACTACATACGTGTGTGTGTGTGAGAGTTTCTTGCTAGAACTGCAGCTTTTGCATTGTAAATGACCCCTGTAGAAAACAGGGAGCACATTTTGCTATCGAGTTTGAAGCTTTGAAATCAGTCGTCCTATCAGAGTTCGCGATCAGCAGGAACATGGTCCGCGCAGGCCAGGGGATTTGCCTAGGAATGAAAGTGAGCATTCTGAGAAACGGCTGCACAGGGGAGCTTGATCCTGAAGAAACGGCACAGCTGTGTGAGTTCCACCCATGGGTTGTCGTTGTCCTCGCCCTCGTGGTGTCCTGCAAGCTGCCTGCCAGCCTGTTGTAGACGCAGACTGCGAGCTCACTCCCGGACCCCTGCTGGCGGTCGTGGCCGCCCCTCGCAGTGGTGTCCGTGTCTTCCCGTGTCCGTGTGCCTGCGCTTGCGTGGGGGGGTCGCTCCGCTGCGTGTGCATGCGTGTCTGCGCAGCCTGTTTCTGTACCGCGGTGTGTTTGTGTTCTGCTGCCGTGCACCCGAATGTGTGTGTCGTGTGTGGCTGCTGTCAGTGTGTGTGTGTGTCAGGGAGCCAGGGAGGGTGTTGGTGTTCCGCTGTGTCCGGGGGGTGACAGTGCCAGCCCCTCAGCCCCTCTGCTCCAGTGTTTCATCTGATAACCCCTTATCAAGAGAGAGCAGCCAGCAGAGAGCAGCCACCAGCCACATCCCCAGAGGCAGCCTGTGCCTGTCCCTGCACTGCCCTCCCTCCCTCTCCCTGTCCCTCCCCCTCACCCTCTCTTGCCCTCTTCCTCACCCTCACCCTCTTCCTCACTCTCACCCTCGCCCTCGCCCTCATTCTCACCCTCATCCATGCCTTCATTCTCGCATTCTTTGTTGCCCTCACCCCCTCTCGCCCTCGCCCTCTTCCTCACCCTTATCCTCATCCTCGCCCTCATTCTTGCTCTCTTCCTCGCTCTCACCCTCTCTCACCCTCTTCCTCACCCTCGCCCTCGCCCTCTCTGAGCTCTGTTCTCTCGGAGCAGACTGCTGTCCTTGCTGGGCAGAGCTTGGACCTGCTGGGAGCGTGGCTGCTGTCTAACCCCACGCCGCTGGGGCTCCTGGGTAACCGTGGGCTCGCGGTCCCTCTCCAGCCCTGACAGTGAAACGGGAGGGTTATTTCTGTAACGGGGTGTCCTCACGGCTTGGCGTGTTGAGCCCCCCCGGGTACAGTGCAGGCTGAGCATGGCTGGCTGGGGGGGGGTCCGGGTTCTGGTCCTGTTGGCTCCAGATAACACTGCTTCTGTATCCCACTGGATCCTGGTCCTACCAGTTCATGGTTCCCAGTGGTTCTGGGTCCCGCTGGCTCTGGGTCTTGCTGGTTCTGTGTGCCACTGATTCAGGATCCTGCTGGTTCTGGTCCCGTCACACAGCAGTCCGACCCATTTTGGGTTTTATGAGACGTGACCGCTTGTTAAGTTGGAAAGACAAAGCACAATAAAAAATAGCAAAATATTTAATGTCGCTGTTGATGTCACTTTAATTTGACGTGAAGTCAGGTTGAAATACACAGCACCTATTTTGGCTTTGAGCAGAACCAGCATCAGCCTGATCCGTCTCTTTCTGATCACCCCAGAACCCACTGATTCCACCGCAGATGTACTGTGGCCTGCTGATCACTGTAATTTTAGGAGAGGCTGAGTACCCAGTGAGTCTCTCCTGCAGCGTGAGGCCAGCCTGCCCCAGCGCCTGAGGTGTTTGTCTGCTCCCCTGTTGTGCCTGGTGTTATGTCTCAGGCACATGGTCTGTGTTACTGTGGGCCGGTGGTGGATTTGGGGCCACGCTGGGTCCTGTGTTGTGTCCCTTTCTAATTTCCCTGAAAACGCTAAATGAACAAAGGAACCAGGAAGACATTTGGCACTGAACTTTGCTTAACAAATGAGTCACCGTGAGTCTGACAAGATGTGCACTGTCTGAACTCTCGGGTTACCAGAGAGATATCTCAACCTGATTGCTGCGTTTTAATAATTTGCATTACTGTTCAGCTATAGTGTAGCACAGTGAAAGCTCTTAAGTTCATTTTTGCATTTTTATTTGCTTTGTTCAGACACTTTTCCTTTTTTGCATCTGGGTCATCGTGTGTGTGTGTGTGTGTGTGTGTGTGTGTGTGTGTGTAAGAATGTACGAAAGCGTGCGTGTGTGTGATCGAGTTTGTTCTGGCTGGACTGTTTGCAGAAATTAACAATCTGTTAATGGAGAAAAACCTCCAGTGAAAGGTGTTATCTTGTCAGTCTTGTGTCTGAATGTCACCTTACCAAACATTGTGCTGACTGAATTGGCCATGACCTCTCCGTTGTTCCCACTTTAGTTCGTTAATCTGGAGTGACATTTAAGACCTGGACTGCGGGTCTGTAGGATCTCGCATTGGCCTTGCTTGCGTGCCTCTATAATTGGTTTCTGACTTGAGGATGTAGTGTACTGTGTGTATACAGTGTACTGCGTGGGTACACTGTGCTGTGTGGGTACACTGTGCCGTGTGGATACAGTGTACTGTGAAGGTACATGCTGTCTATCATGCGGTTATTTCCACAGTGTGTCGGCTGCATGCTGTGGTCCCTTGTGTCTCCACTTATAGGGATTTATAGGGATTTCCAGTAGATACCCGTTCACCTCCTGGACAAATACATGTTGCAACCACTATGAAGAGACTGGATTTATAGATGCTTATAGTATATAATAGAAAGTTTACACTGAAGACCAATGACGTGGCCTTCATCCATCATCAGAAGACCTCTTATACTGTAGGTTTCAGTAACCCAGAGACACAGAGCTTCGGTCTGGACCGAAATGAAATGTGATCTGCCAAGGACAGGATAGACTGCTTTACACAAAGGGCTGTGGGAGCGTGGAACAAGCTCGCCCAGCTATGTTGCTGAAGCTGATACCCTGGTTGCGTTTGGGAAACAGCTGGAGGAGATCCTGGGATCAGGACAGGAGGCACTGCTTTACATACAGAGCAGTGGGGGTGTGGAACTGGCTGCCCAGCCACATGGTGAAACTGAATTCCTGGCTCCTCTGACTAAATGCCTGGATGAGTTGCTGTACTAGAACCTAAATGGACCAGATGGGCTGAATGTCAGTTCTCTTATTTAAAGATAATGAAATAAATGTGTAAAGTCATTTTTATGTCTTTTTTACTTTATAGATTTAGATTTTTTGTCTGGTACCACAGAGAGTAAGTGTACAACATACAGTAAATGTTGTACGTGTTGATGACTAACATGATTTGCTTATGTTACAATGGCCCCAGTCTGGTCACTCAGTAGGGCTACAATATTGCATTATCGCTTATCCACCCAGAATAAGATCAATCGAGTTTAATAGACCTCCGTGGGGCGCACTTCTCATTGACATTGCACTTAATTGGAGGCCCTTAATCGCCGGCCGATGTGAGGCTTCAGGCTCGGTCCATCCGATGGCCGCAGGTCCACACGGTACTGTCTGACAGCTCAGGCCCCGGCAGAGCAGGGCAGGCCAGCGGCGAGACAGGCACATGCAAGAGGAGGTGTGGCTCTTCCACCCAAAAAAAAGGCTTCTTGTCTTCTACACTAAACAACCCCCCCCCCCACCACATACACACCCACACACCTCCCGGCGTCACTACCCCACCCCCTGGCCTGCCTGAACCCGCCTCCCCCCTCCTCCCTCTAACCTCAGTTATCAGCCACTCTGCCAGAAACTCTTCAGTCCTGTTGAGCAGCACCCCACTCCGGCCGACTCTCGCGCTCTCTCTCCCGCGCACACACTCGAGCTCAGATCCGTCCCGCCGCCCCGACCCGACCCAACTCGCCCCCTGTCTGAGAGGGACCCGGGCTGGACGCCCCGAAACTGGACCGCTGAAGCCAGCACCATTACACTGTGGACCAACAGGTGGGTGACCTTTCCCTCTGCATCTCTATCCAGGCGGCGTGCTGCTCAGAGCCTTTCCTTTCCTTCCTAACCTCCGCTGCAGACTCCGGACTCCGGACTTGCGCCCCTGTTTTTTGGGGGTGTCTTGTGAGCAAGCCAGGGGTCAAAACCAGAGACGAGGTGCGTGCACGCACTAGCTTTCTGAGGGCGTTAGACGGATTTTGCACCAAAGAGAAATGCTTTGAAAGTCACCCTGTTATTAAATTTATACATTGTTTTAGAAACGACTGTTATTAATTCTAGTGACAACTGCTCCCTGATTGTTTCACAGCGCAGCTCCTTGCTGTGTTGCAGCGCAGTAGTAGATCACATCCTTTGTAAATGTAGCAGGATGACTGTCAAACCCTTCTGCTTCGCTGCAAAACTGCCTCTCCATCAGCTCTGACTACCTCCGCAGGCCTGTGCTCTAGCTGTTAAAAACAAAATGGACGTTGGGGGTACTGGCCCCTGCCTGAGCACCCCGACGCCTGTCCAGTGGAGCTCAGATGGGGGGGCCAGGCTGTGTTCTGGAGCGGTTTCGGAGTGTGTCGGATTGCAGGGGAAGCTCTGTGGCTGGAGCAGTGTCGTCACTGCCTGGGTGACCCAATGTGCCTGCCCTGGGAGAGCCACACAGAGAGCCTCCTGCACGCGCACAGCAGCCATCTAAACTCTCCCAGAGCACACACATCCTCGTCCACACAACACGGAGGGATGTTCGCATTTCTTTTTATCTTCGTAATTCTGTCACGCTGGATTTGCGACTGTGTGGGTGGAGACAATATATCAGTTAGCTAATCAGAGGGTTTGGGTTTTTTTTTAACACTGTACACAACTTGCTCAGAGCCCCCCTTATGGGGTCTCCCTTGAGTCCCGATTTGCGCGAGCCCCCGTCGTCTGCCCCCTCGCGTCCTGCAGCTCTCGGCCGCGCTCCTGTGCAGGCAGGGCTCGGCGGCGATGTTGCGATGTTGCGGCGAGGACGTACCGTCCGTTGAAAAATCTGCACGGACAGTGCAGCCGGGGGCGTCTGACAGCGCGGACGCCGGTGAGGCTGCTGTCCTGGAGACAACGGCTTCTGCTGTGAAGGAGGTTCGTGGCCGTGAGGCCCGGCTGACACTGAGGAGACGTTCTGAGACGGTGCTCAGAGTCCATGCTGGCCTTCTGCAGCCCTGGTCCCAGACAGCTGTCCTCTAGCAGAAGCTGTGAGCAGAGTGATTCTCCAGCGGCAGGGCTGCAGGGCACTAATTCACAGCTTCGCTGGTGATTATTTGTGGTTTTGCAACACTGGGCTTCAGGCGCGTCTCATGCCTGCAGCCCATGGGCTCCGAGCTTTATTTGTGTGTTTCAATGCAGCTGTCGTGTTGTCAGGTCTCACTTTTCTGATCTTCATAGCCAGGAGTGTGAGCAGGGAGAGGGGGGGGGGTGTCTTTACACTGTGGTTCCATCCAGCAAAATGACAAGCATGAAGTCTTGATTGATTAACAAGCATGAAGTCTTGATTGAT